AACTTCGAACCTCCTTCTACAGAATGCAAAGGTAAAATGATTATAGAAGGCTTGTTAGATACTTGTAACAATTGCTATTCCAAACACTTTGCTGATAAAATTACTATAAATAGGAATAGAGCAAAAAGAGTAAAAAAGAAATATAAAACCAAAAGGAAAAAAAAACATGTTAAAAACTATGATAAAGGAGAAGGAAGAACAATAGATGCCTCTATTTTAGGGCTTTCACATAGACTCACCATTAGTACATCCCTGTCTGTTGTAGAATCAGTGTAGACTACCAGTGGTTGTGAACCAGAAGTTTCACCAGCCACATTAACATAAGTGAGATCACTGAAATGCTTCTCCGTGACCTAAGTGCGACATTACATTAGTATATATACAAAATACACCACTGATTACATCAAATACTAAAACTATAAGAAACATGAAAATAAGTGAAGACGCCACAGAAATGGTTAGTGACATTGCTACAACCTATTGAATGAGGATAGATCGGAATATAGATGCAGATTTCAAACAAAGGGCAATGAGAGAAAGGCCGAAACGACTGCAGTGTCTGCATTTTATGGAATCAAACAACCTCAAAAATGGTATAAAACGTTATTTCCAATTAAGGAACACTTCTCACCACATGGCTGTAAGCCCATGTAACAAAGTTAAACCATCTTATTGACAAAGTTCTCTATGCAAATGTAGAGAAGAAGTATCCTCAAAAGTGTGAATTGTATAGTAAGAAAGTATCTATGGTGGCAAGCCAGTACTAGCTCAAAAGTAAACATTGGCTTAAAGACACACACACACACACACACACACACACACATACTTATAAGTTATAAGAAAGATGTTTATGAGTTTATCAACATGTAAGATGATAAATTACCTACCATTTTATAGCATAGCGCACAGACCCAACCAAATATACATACGGGGTGGACAGTCTTAATCTAGTTTTGGACAACCAAAAGACAGTAAATGAAAAACAAACAATGAGTAGCAGAAAATGCTTTACCATCTTAATCAATCTCAGTTGGCGATATGTCATGCCATTCACTACAAGAGCAGGGCGCATCTTAAAGAAAGTACTCTGAAATTTCTGGTTTTTGTCATCCGAGTTACCCTTAAATATCGATCCCCTATTTGTCTCCCCTAATAATTCTGAACGCCACTCACTGATTACATTCTTCATTCTCTCAGAAAATAGAGTATCTGCCATTCTAACAAACTTTGTGTCGTGGCTCACGTTAGAGGATGGTTCATGTAATTCATCCTTGTATACTGAGTCTAACTGTCTCAATGCTTCCTCCTCTTGGCTTCTGGATAGATAAGATACACCTGAGATTATGTAAGATTGTAAAATCTTCAAACAGAACTCATGGTACAGGGAAGACACTAAACAACAGAACACAAAATAATATTTGGATTTACGAGAAGTTACAGCTATTTCTGACACATGAAAAGAAAAAAATTATCTGTTTCCTATTGACATAACGCAGACCAAAAATAAATTACAAACACAAGTGAAAGAGAAGGGCTTATGTCTCAATTAACATAAAATCTATCTTTTCCTAATGAGTTATGCACCTCTAAAGATTGGCTGCTCTACCCCAAACTCATATCCCTATTCGGTCGAATTAGCTTCAAAGGCGGATTCATCCCTCTCTTCCTTCTGAACCTTTCGCTCGTTCCAGTAAAAAAGAGTCAATTGCATCTTCTCAATTACACCTTTCCTCTCCTTTTAGTCGAGACTCACTTTGCTCTCCTTGGGTTGGGTGATTTCCATATAAGACTTTGAAGAGGAATTGGATGACCTAGAATTAATGATTGAAGCCAAACATCCCTAGCCCCGGTTATCAAAACAAATTTATGTGACAGTATGTTCCATATTTCTGTCTTTATGTATGTAGCATAACTAAAGACGGTCAGAGTATGACCTTAAAATCAATATTAAAGTCTACAAAATAACTAAAAATTTAGAATCAGATACAGGTAAATAGTTTCATTATCTATAAATATAATATCTGAGATCGCCATCTTGAAGGTGAAGATTAAACATTCCTCTTATTGGACTTAGGCATAATTTTCCATAGAAGTCATTAATTTATAGTTAGTTGTAATTTATATGAAAAAGAATCAAAGACAAGAGAAGAGAAGAGGGATTCACACTAATTTTTTCAAGAAGTAAAAAAACAATAGGTTAGAGAAAAAATAAAAACAAACTACAGAATGATGTCCTAACAGTCAATCAAAGGCATTTCATTCAGATAATTTCAGCAATAATATTTAAACCACGGTTTATAAAGATAGTATATAATCCGAGAAACGTAGTGAAACAAGACTTCACCTTTATAAATGCACGAATTGAAATCAAACTGGTATTTTGCCAAGAACTCCAACGAGCTTGTCTGGCACAGGAACTCATTCGATGATCCATCGCCTGACAATTCCTGTCGCGGAAATATGTAAAAATTGTGCCTGTAGATACAGAACAATGTAGCTGGTTCACTAATCATCACTAACCATAGCAAGCAATTCAAACAACCCCCACCCACTACCAAAGTCCAACTTAAAGGCCTACAGAAATAAAGTTTCAGTTTTATTAATAATTCATAACTTCATTTTCCATCCAAATTTCAAGCATATCATATAACCCGGAGTTGATAGCATTACTTCCAAATAGATAATGATTAGCCTAAATTAAAACAGTATTTCCAGATTTTAACTCTGCTTCCAAAACGTATTCACAAAGAGCAACACATACACACGCGCACAGACAGACGAAAACGAAAGAACGCAAACACACACTGACGATCACACTTACGGATGGGAAACAAAGGAGTGACTATGCGAGTCCCACCGGAAAGGGCAGACGCCGAACTGAACGACGGCGAATTTCTCGGCGGAGTCCTTGATCTTCAGGTATTGGACATCGTGCCGGTCGAACTCGAATGCCTCACGCCACGGCGCGCTGGTCACCCCCGTCATCTCCAAGTCGATCGACACGAAGTCGGCTTGACTGACGTGGCGGCGCAGCTCGGCAAGCGCCGGCTCGAAGTTTGATTTGGTCACATTTTTCAGCTCCACGGTTGAGGTGGAGAGGGAACGGACCAACTGAGTTCGGGTTCGGGCCCTGCTAAGTGCTCGAACCAGGTGGTTTCTTCTCATTCTCTGCGTTTGCACATTTTCTAGGGCTTATACCCCATTAGTGAATTCCTACAGAGACGATGAAGATTGTTCGGAGAAGAAGCTGGTGATTGTATTGCGTTATAAGCGAATCTATGTATCTTTTTTGGAACTCTTTCCAAGCCCAATAGAATATGTAGCCAGTTGGGCCTGCTGCCCAGTAGAAGTTCGGGTTCGGGTAAAAGTGCATCGGCCAATTTACACGCTTGCAATGTCATTTGGAAGTACTTGCACATATACGATCAATTGAAGAAAAAAAAATAGCATCTATATATCTATATATAAAGTCAACATGTTTATCAAAAATAGTAACAAGAAAAATCAACACACATTTAATGCATATCATATTTGGAAATTATTTATTATATGCATTAATTGCTTGCATATATATATTTCCTATCCATATATAACTAGTGTGTATCTCGTGCGCTGCACGGGTAAACAATATTAAATAATAATTATAAATAGGTCTCGAGTTCGAGTCATTCAATGAAAGAAGTGGGAAATCATCATTTCTTAAAAGAGCAAGAAAAAATAGTGTAAATTAAAGATGATGGTGAACAAATTAAAGATTAAGAGTTAACATGTGATATAATTTACCGTATATCAGTTTATTATAAACAATTTAAAATTAGCTTGTACAAGAGAACATAAATTTGGTATGTTTAAAATATTACGAACACCTAAAATGTTATATTAACATATGTAAAAATATCTAAAATTTTCTATATTTATTATTAATATATGTGGAGTCATTTACAATTTTTCTAAACTATTTTGGAAAGAAAACATGTCTGAACACATTAACTTTTATATTTAACTTAAATTAAGGCAAAAATTGAAGACATTGAATATTTTTTGTGGAGAAATATATGATCAATTTTATTTTATTTTACGATATAATATATATATATATATATATTAAAAACATCTAAAATATTATATCATATATATTAAATATATCTAAAATATTCTACATTATTCTTGAAATATGTCGAAGACACCTAAATTTTTTCTAAAATATTATGTATTTAAGTTTAACCTCCATATATGTACATGTATCCTCCATATATACTTAATCATTGTCCAAATAATGTTTAAAATATCTAAAATATTATATAAGTTAATAATAATAATTAGATAGATAAAAATTAGCTTTTTAAAAAACAATACATAAAGAATTTGTGTTGCTAATGAGATATTGAATTTGAAAATTTACATAATCCTAGCTCAGAGGAAGTTTAAATGTATTAGTTTTCTTTGTTGTACACGTGCATTATAAAAATATATATTTATAGTTTAGACTTTTTGTTGTTTTATGGAAACAAATTCATTAATCAAAGAAATCATGTATCTTCCAGCAGTACACATCTATATACATTCTTTACAATTTTAAATTTTGGATTTGAAGAGTTTTTTAATCAATGACTGAAAAAATAATTTTTATAATTTCAAATCAGCCATATCTTCAATTTTACAATGTTACATAACAATTTTTTTTAATTTTAAATCAACAGTAATTTTAAATCAGGCGTAAATGAAAAATAAAAACTACAAATGTGTTACATGATTTTGTGTGAAAAAAAAAAAAGTTTGACCATTTAAATATTAAATCAACACTAATTAATTAAGCACAATTTTTTAAAAACAAAATAACAGCCGCCGCAATTAATGGGCAACATTCACGATTTTTTTAAAAGAAAAATAACGACATCCTGAATTAATGGGTAGCATTTAATGCTGCTATTTCTCTACAAACAAAAAAAAAGAAAAGTTACTAAGAATGAAATGTAATTAATGCAAAAAGATTTTGACTAAAGGTTGACCTGCTATTTTTGAAAAAATGTTATTCTTTTTATATATTTATAGATTCAGAAGCCCAATTATGTTCCAGGATATAGTGTACTCACCTAAATTGGTTAGGTCAAACTTAACGGGCCAATAACATATTATTGAATTGACCCAAATAAAGTCCAACCATGAAAGCGAGCCGAATCATTAAGTGCGGCCCAACATAAAATTAAATTAAACCCGTTATGGCTTAAAAGAATGGATCAGACGGTATTAATTAGTCAACCGATATTAACGGTCAGAAATAAAAGATGTCATCTAAAAAAGTCAAAAATATCCAAATTTTTAGGATTGTATCATTTCTTCTCCTCCTCCCACCGCTTCCTTCTCCGTTCTATCTTATATCACTTCTAAAAACCTGATAAAATATTCTTTCAAATTTTCACAAAAATGCTCTATTTTTTTAATCAATTGATCACATTTATTGTGAGTCGATTTCTTATGTTAGATAGATCGATATTATATCTTGTCTATGTTTAGAAAGATGCCTCTATATTTTATTTCTTTTGATTTTATATTTTTCTGTGTGTTTTAAGATTTTGTATTTGTTTTTACTATTTCGACCATTTCAAAAGTTTTTTTTTTTAATATCGAGACTTACATAATTTGTTGTTCAATTATTTTGATTCAAAATGCTTTTTTTTTGTTTTTTTAGTAGATTTTAGAATTTCGTAAGTTTAATGGACGGATCTGGAGAATTTTTCATTTTCGGTCGAAATCCAAATTTTATTCAGTCGAAAAAAATTGCATACCTGAAATAAAGTCTCATTTTCTATTTGAATCTCTATTTGTTTTAAAAAATGTTAAAAATCTTAGTCGGTTATATAAATTTTTACTGTATTTTGAAATTTAATTTGAAATAAGGGTCTTAATCTCTAAAAATGTGTTCAGATTTTTTTACCGATTTATACTAATTTGAAATAAATGTAAAACTTTTTAATTGAACTACTTGATTTCTGTTTATTAAAAAAAAAAACTTACAAAAACAACAAAATCTTTTATGATTCAACAAATCCCACATTTTAA